CAAGTTTGGTGGAGCGATCCCCCTTGTGCCCAGCGCTGAATAAACAAATACCTGCTACCTCTAAGATACAAGTCTGGGGGTAGTTCTTTTTCAGCCCTTTTCTCGGCATCACTTCCCAGTTTGTCATTTCATTCCCATGAACCTGAGACAATTTCTTTGGTCCTGTCATTTGGATATGTGTAATTTTAAAATTTCTGTTACTGCAACACATTGTGTCTATGACTGGTCCTAGTTAATGTTTTAAATGACACATCATTCATATGTGACCCTGTGAATATTCAGCATTCTGGAAATGCTTTGTTGTTTTTACACTGAGCATTTTTATTTGTTATTAATGTTTATATTTTCTTTCCTTTCCAATAAGGAGCAAGAACAATTTGGAAATCAGCTGTCTTTGTCCTCAAATAGTGTAATTGTAATCAAGGCTCGTGATTGTTTCTTTACACATATTTCATCACCACCTACTTGCAAATTCCACCGCTGGAATGACAGCCATAAGGCAGCAAAATTTTAAGGCAGCTTTAGTTTTTTAACAATCCATACCCAGGATGATTTTACTCAAACACATCCCTCATTTACAAGAACAGATACCAACAGGTCACACAAACAAACCACCTAACAGCTGCATTCAAACCGGAAGGAGCCACTTCTGTGTGTAAGACGCAGATTTTTCCACATGCTGCACTGTGGTTACACCTGGCCAGACCTGCCACAGGCCTGTTACCCTGACAACACCTCACAGTTCTGTTGCAGGTAGCAGGTATTGGCTTTTCTGATAAGCAATTACTTTCTGTGTCACTGAACGTGTGGATTTAGCTCTGGGGCATGGGGCAGCACCACACCTCCTAATCAGGGATGGAGAAACTCCCCCTTTGGCAAAGAGACCCGGAAAATGGATCTGAATAAAATGGATTCTTGCATGTCACCCCAATGGTGTCAACTACTTCATCCCAGGGCAAAGCAACATCTAATCATTAACAGTAATTAAGAGAGAAAGCACATAAAGAGGGGTGGGGAAAGGCTAGAGAGCTTAAGGAGGTGACAGGCATATCTGCTGGGTGGATGAGGGAGCAGGTAATAAAGGGAGTTGCTAAGTGAGAGGGAAAGGAGAGATAATATTTGAAAGAAACATTCCAATTCTCAGCAAGAGCTGAGAAACAGAGGTAGAAAAGGAATACAAAAAGTTCCTGCACCGGCATGACCCTGTGATGGCAGTGCTGAGTGGTCAGTTGGATTATGACAACTGGCTCCAATTCCAGAACAAAAGGAAGAAATGGAAGAGAGGTATGTGAGGGAAGGGACAAGGGATGTTGGCCCAGTTCTGGGCCTGGTTTATTTACAGAAGAGAGACAAAGCAAAAAGGGCTGCTAAAGTGGAAAAGCAATGCTCTAGCATTGGCCATGAGCTGGGAATGAAAACAACTGGAGCTGCTGCTCTGGCAACTGTTCTGGCAGTGGAAGGAGGTTGGGTTCAGTTCTTGGGTACACATATGTCTCCAGCTATGCCCTGAACACCATACTGTGTATAACAGCTCTCTCACCTCAGTCCTGGCCATGCTGTTGCTTTGGGAAGTTGTGCAAAAGAACTGTGCAAAGGAAAAGGTTGGAATCTGTAAAAGACAGAAACACCTGAACAGTAATGCTATCTCTAAGGATTAAAGAAATCTTTTATCAGTAGTCTAAGGCTAACTTGCTTTATTGGAGAATAGGACTGAGGATATAACATCCACATCCTTCAGTACTGTACCAAAGCAAAAGACTTTCTAGAAAACATTGCTGAGAAAAGGTTCCCAGAGGCAATCCCACTCCTCTCCTGCTAGATTGCTCTTACTGGTACATGGGGAGCTCTGACACACTCAGCCACCAGAAAACAGCATGGGCCAAACAGAGCAGACGCAGTTCTGAGACACAAGCACTGCCCAGTAGTTTTGCCTCTTGCAGGTGAGTATTTGCTCATGTGAATCCTCTTAGCTTCTGCAATATGGATAATAAAAGGGAACCTTTCCGGTAGCGTTAGAAAATCCTCCCCCCACCTCTGCTCCATTTTCTCTCTGCTTCCCTTTTCATGCTATAACTGGTTATTTACCAACTGCTTTCTGCCTTCTCCTTCCTTCGTTTTCTCAGGCTGCTCCCAAGGCAGCTTTCACTGAAGATACCAGACACTCTGCTGACCAGGTCTGTCACACACTGAGGATCTCAACACTCAGTTTAGAACAGGTGCAATGGAAGACATTTAAACATGCAAATTCAACATGGA